GGGAAAGAGGTACTTTTCTCCCTTTCTCACAATACAAGAACTCCTCGTGGGCACTCCATGAAATTGCTGAGCAGTCGGGTTAGAACAGATAAAAGGAAGTCCTTCTTCACCCAGAGAGCGATTAACACGTGGAATTCACTGCCACAGGAGTTGGTGGTGGCGACAAACATGGGGGGCTTCAAGAAGGAATTGGATAAATCTATGGAGCAGAGGTCCATCAGTGGCTATTAGCCACAAGGTATGGATAGGAACTCTCGGTCTGGGGCAAGTGATGCTCTGTATTCTTGGGGAGGGGCAACAGTGGGAGGGCTTCTAGTGTCCTGGCCCCACTGCTGGCCCTCCTGATGGCACCTGGTATTTTTGGCCACTGTGTGACAAAGTGTTGGACTGGATGGGTGAGAGAGGATGCTGGCCTAGATGGACCACTGGTCTGATCCAGCAGGGCTCTTGTGATGTTCTTAGGAAGGCCTCGGCCTCTATGCCCTATCGTTGGCTGCCCAGAGGAACTGGTTGGCCACTATGTGAGAGAGGATGCTGGAGTAGATGGACCACTGGTCTGATCCAGCAGGGCTCTTCTGATGTTCTTAGGAAGGCCTCGGCCTCTATGCCCTATTGTTGGCTGTCCAGAGGAACTGGTTGGCCCCTGTGTGAGAGAGGATGCTGGAGTAGATGGACCACTGGTCTGATCCAGCAGGGCTCTTCTGATGTTCTTAAGAAGGCCTCAACCTCTATGCCCTGTTGTTGGCTGTCCAGAGGAACTGGTTGGCCACTGTGTGAGAGAGGATGCTGGCCAAGATGGACCATTGGTCGGATCCAGCAGGGCTCTTGTTATGTTCTCTTAGAATCAAGTAGTGCTGCTGCTTCTTCCCAGGAAACAGAATCTAATCTCAATTTCTTACTCCCACCCACCTCAGGATGGGCACCAAACTGTTAAGACTCAACCACGAGAGATCACAAGCTGACGGGAAACGTGGGACCTGGATCCGGAGCTCTGGTCGGAACCTGGACCTGGAGGAGGACCTGGAGGACACACAGGAGCGGGTTCGGGAGCTCGAGAGGCGCAACGAAGGGCTGAGGAACCGCCTGCAGTTCTACAAGCAGCAGCTGCAGCTGCAGGGCTGTAGCCGCCACTGCCCCTATGGCTACGTCCCTCCCAGGGTCAACACGGGGCTCAGGAGGGTGCACACGACCACCGGGCGAATGCCAGAGAGACTCCGCAAAGGTGAGAAGGGTCTGAGGGCGCCACCTGTTGGTAGGAATGCAATAATAGTTATGGTTATCATGTGGCAGTGGGTATAGTATAGCCAGGAGATCCAAAGATTGTCTGGCAGCCTGAATCGCTAGTTCTTTTTGTGGTGAGCTAGGTTTGTTCTTTGGGCGGAGAGAACTGCGACTGCCCCAAGGTCACCCAGCGGGATTCCTGTGGAGGAGTGGGGAATCGAGCCCAGTTCTCCAGATCAAGAGTCCACTGCTCTTAACTACTACGCCAAACTGGCTCTGGTAGGAATTTTCTGGGCTGAGAAGGGTTCCAACCTAGGGTCGCCAGCCTCCAGGTGAGGCCTGGCATTTGTCAGGAATTGGTTCACTAGAGGAAACAGCCACTTTAGAGGATGGGCCCTACAGAGCTCCCCCCCTTCCCAAATTCCCCCTCCCTGGGCACTGCCCACAGGTCTCCAGGCATTTCTCAGGTCAGAGCTGGTAACCCAAGAGCGGCCGAGTTTGCCACACTATTAGAATGCTCAGTTTAGTGCTCAGACGGAGCTGTGGTGGCTCAAGTGGTTAAGACACTCAACTGCAGGCTGTGGAAGGCCAGTAGTTCAGCAGTTCGAGACCTGAGTGTGTCGCATGACGGAGTGAGCTCCCGTCTCTAGTTCCGGCTCCTGCCAACCTAGCAGTCCGAAAGCAAGAAATTGCAAGTAGATAAATAGGTACCACTTCGGTGGGAAGGGAACGGCGTTCCGTGCGCCTTGGTGTTTAGTCATGCCGGCCACATGACCACGGAAACGTCTTCGGACAGCGCTGGCTCTTTGGCTTCGAAACGGAGATGAGCACCGCAACCCTAGAGTCGGATTCGACTGGCTTTCAAGCAAGGGAACCTCTACCTCTACCTCTCTCAGTGCTCAGGCTGGGGTGTGCGTGTTATATTTCTGCAATAGAATTACACACACACACACACACACACCGGTTTCCAGCCTTCCCCACATACTTAAATTTCCTTACAATCCCTACTCACAGGGATGCTTTCATGCTTGGCAGATAGAATGTTTCGCTGACCACAGAATCAAGAGGGGTACTTTGCCAAACCCCCATTTTCTGATCATTTCTGCTGTTACGAGTCTGAGGCAATAGAGACCATAGATCATCCTCCCGTGTGATTTTGTGAACAACGGACTGTACTCCAAGATCTTTGGAGCATGCCTATCTCGATCGCGTATCAGTTTTCGGCTGAATCCTGGACGATCTCTTTTCTGTTGACAGATGTCCATCCAGTAATAACAATTTATCCTGTTGCCAGATTTTGGGCAATAGTGATTTCTCTAAGGTGCTACCAACGTGGGTTTAATTTTTTTTTTTAATGCTTCCTGCACAAATTGTGCATGCACATTTTAATATGGGGGGGGGGGGGTTAATGCATTTCATTCTGTTTTACTGTACCGATCGTCTTACGCTCAAGACGTCAGGTCAAAAGAACTTTGTCGTAAAAGAAAAGGAAGGAATACCGGCGGTTGTGGCAAGAGGTTGCGGGGGAGGGGTTTCATGACATCCAGCTTTTCATTCTTGTTTCGTTCATCAGGCATGCGGGTGCAAGGACCAGAAGTCCGGCCGACCCACACAGCCCCTTCCAGATACGGGGATCATATAGCAGAGCCATCCCGAGCAGAGACAGAGAGACTGTGAGTCTTGTCAGTCATTCCCACAGCTGCCGGGGGGGGGGGGATATATTTACTTATGTTATTCATAGTCCATCTTTTCCACTAGGACTCAGAGCAGATTACACAGAGTTGAGTTAACATGATCCACAGAATGGGACATTCAATAAACAATGGCAAAGGATTTGGACAGCAGAAATCTGAAACCAACCAGAATAATACCAGCCGGTGGAAATCGGGCCTCCAAAGCGGGGGATTATCCGCCCCCCCCCCAGGGGCTTGGCAGCCCTATGGACAGCCAATGGAGTGGCTGCAGATTGGGAAGAATATGCACGCTCTGCCTAGCTTCCAGCAGTGGCCGAGCAGGCGATGAGGAGCAGTGCATGCTGGGGATTCCTTGTGACCAGCGTTCCCTCTAAGCTGAGTTAGTGTGAGCTGGCTCACAGTTTTTTAGCCTCCGGCTCACAGATTTTTGTCTCCGCTCAGGCAGGATGGCTCCGGAGCAAGCTAATTTATGCAGCAGCCAAATCACTCGCTCACAACTTTATTGCCAGTCGCTCACAAAGTAGATTTTTTGCTCACAACTCACAAGACTCCACAGCTTAGAGGGAGCATTCCTCGTGACCAGCTTGCCTCGCTCACAAAGACCTTCCTTTCCCGGGATACTTCCAGTGACCCCAAGAAGAACATTGTTCGTGAGCCTCTCACGACTGCAGTAGTTTCCCCCCCCCCCCCCGGCCCCCTTGGGAAGCTGTGGGAGATAGGGTGCTCTCGCCTGCTGAAAGGACCGGCCAGGTTTGGAAGCGATGCATGCCTGCCACGCGGCTTCCAACTTCACTGATCTCGTTGCTGACCCAAGAGAGCAAGTCCCAGATTCTCTGACAGCACAAAGGCACCATCCGCTCACGGCTTGCTGGGTGGCTCTGCCAGGTGCCTTGTGCTGATGAGGCCTGGCCCTGCGCACACACCATATTTAGTTGTGCAGCTTTAATCGAGACACACAGGAAGCATCACTTGTACATCACCTTTAGTTCCACCCATTGGGCCAGGAGTTACTTTCCTGACTTTCAGCCTCAGTGCTGGAAAAAGCACAGTCTGCGATGGCCATTCGTTTCGCTGTTAATATATACAAGCCATGTCCAATGTTCCCTCTAACCCCCCCCCCCACTGAGCGGAGCAGTTCACATCCTGAGCGGAATAGAACTGCTGTAATCTTTAAAGGGCAAGAAGTACCCAAATCACTGTGTGAAAACAATTTCTAATCAACTAAATAAAGACTTATTCAAAACCTTGCCTAAGGTTTTGAATAAGTCTTTACTCTCAGTGATACACAGTTGATTAGACATTGTTTTCACACAGTGATTTGGGTACTTTCTGCCATTAGACACTGTGTTCCCTTATTTAATTTTGTAATCTTTAAATTGGGCAATGAGCAGTGCAAGACCCCCCCATGGCTCCAGATTGCTGCTGAGCGGGGCTTCCTGTGTCAATGAGCGGCCGCTCACACGCACGATTTATAGGGAACACTGGTATCCTGCTATTTTCTCCTTTTCACATCTCTCACATCAACCCCAACGATTGAAATTCGCTCACTCTGAGCTTCCTTTTCAGAACCCACAGCCTGGTGATGGCGGAGCTGGAAATGGACTCTGAAACGCCGAGTTCCGTCCAGGGCAGAGAGACTGATCCAGAAAGCAACCGGTCTCAGCAGCGATATCATGAAGCTCAGGCACGCCGGTACAACAGCTTTCCTTGTTTTCAGCTCACTGTTTTGGGGACATAAGGACAGGTTTCAGCTTAGCTAAAATCTGCCCTGACCTGGATAGCCCAGATTTTCCTGATCTCATCAGATCTCGGAAGACTAAGCCATGTTGGTCCTGGTTAGTACTTAGATGGGAGACCACCAAGGAAGGTCAGGGTTGCTATACAAAGGCCCCTGCCACACGGCAGGGGAAAAGCCTCTTTAAAGTTGACACGGCGCGGCGGGATCACACAGATCCCCCGGCCGCGCCGCCTTTTCTCCCCGGCGCGATCAAACGCCGGGGAGAAAACACGTCCCAAACGGGAGCCGGCTGAACTGCGCATGCCCGAGCATGCGCAGTTCGGCTCCAGGCCAGGGTTGAGCCGGCGCAAGGGAGCGCCGGCGATCAAACGCCCGGCTTGAAGCGCGCCAAGGAGTTGAACCACCAAGGTAGGTGGTTCAGTTTGGGGCAGATTTGGGCGGATTTGGGCCAGTTCGGGCACGGAAGCAGGACGCTTCCCAGATGTTGTGGTGTGATCGCGCTGCTTTGATCCGCCCCCGAACTGGCCCGCAACTGGCCCAAATCCCCTCGTGTGGACGGGACCAAAGAAAGGCAACTCCCCTCTTGCCTTTAAAAAAACCCCATGACAGGTCAGCATAAATTGGCTGTGACTTGAAGCCAAAAACAAAAGTCTTTATCAATGCTCCCTCTAAGCTGTGGAGTCTTCTGTGCAAAAATTCTACTTTGTGAGCCACTGGCATTAAAGCCGTGAGCGAGAGATTTGGCTACTGCATAAATAAGTTTGCTCTGGAGCCCTCCTTCCTGAGCTAAGACAGGAATGTCTGAGCCAGAGGCTAAAAAACTGTGTGCTAGCTCACACTAACTCAACTTAGAGGGAACAGCGGTGTCATGCTCAAACGTACGTAAAAGGAGACAGCACTTCCTGTGGTCTTTTAAGTATGACCAGTAACCATGTTGTCGGAACAGAGTGCACCACATAGTTTCCTGCTTCAGTATTCACAATCGAGGTGCACCTGCTTGTGCATACCCAACCTGTAAAATATGCACATTATCCTCTTCGCACAAAATGGCAACTACATATAGTTTGCTCAGTCAACCCTTATGTGCGGTTGACTGAGGCTGCTGAAAAGGGCTTAACATTTCAGTCTTTCTTAACTCCTCTTCTGTTGTCATTGGGGGAGTTTAGTCCAGGAGGATCTTTGGATCATGTTAAAATCTGAATCTCGGTCCTGGACTGGAGACGATGAAATGCAAACCTTAGTTTAGAAAAAGAGAATTGGAAGATTCTCAATTCGAGGAAGAAAATACAAGCTGGTACTGGTAGAATCTGCTTGAAAGCATCTGGCTCCACAATGTCGATCTCAGTTTTCACCCTCAAGCTCTCAGTGGTTGCTAGCTGACAGGTTTTCATGGAGGCTTAGCCAGGGGACGTTTCGTAGAAAAAGAGCTAGGGGAACTCATTAGCATAACTCATTAGCATATGCCACACCCCCTGCCATCACCGGAAGTGTGTCATAAGGCCACACCCCCTGACATCACCGGAAGTGTGTCATAATGCCACACACCCCGCCCCCAACGGTCCCGGCTGCCGCCGCCGGCCTTGCAGCTCCACTGCCGAGCCCCATGAGGGGCCCGGCGGTGGACCTGCAAGGCCAACGGGAGTGCAAGGAAGCCCCGCGAAGGCCCTCCCTGGCCCCAGGCAGGCAGGGGTGGGGAGAGGCAGGGAGGAAGCAACTTACCCTCCCTCTTCTCCTGCCTCCTCCTGGCTGAATGAGGGCCGGAAGCGGGGCGGCCGGAAGCAGGGGCCGGGGCTTCGTCATGTGCCCCGCCCCCCGCACCTCACCCGGGGGAACTGCAATCCCCCGCGATCCCCCCTGAAATGACCTCTGGGCTTAGCAACGATTCGCCGTCTGCCCCTCCATCCACCAACTTCTCTGTTTCGCTCAACTAGAACTGCCATCCAAGACAATGTGGAACTGATCCGGCTGCAGAAGCTGCTGAGGGTGAAGAATTCAGAACTGGCGACTGCGAAAGCCCAGTTGACGGGCCTGCGGGAAGTGAGACCTGCCATCTTTTCTCCAAGTCCTTTCTATCGTCTTAACGTTTATTATTTATTTAACTCACGTACCTAAGTTATACCCCCCACGTTTCTCCCCAATCCTCACACCGCAACCCTGTGAGGTAGGCTGGGCGAAGAGAATGTGACTGGCCCAAGGTCACCCAGCAAGGTGATGGCACTGGAGAGACAGTTTGGTGCAGTGGTTAAGTGCGTGGACTTGATTTGATCCCCCACTCCTCCACTTGCAGCTGCTGTATGACCTTGGGCAAGCCATAGTTCTGTCAGAGCTGCTCTCTCAAGGACAGTTCTGGAAAGCGCTCTCTCAGCCCCACCTACCTCACAGGGTGTCTGTTGTGGGGAGGGGAAGGGAAAGGAGTTTATAAGCCGCTCTGAGACTCTGAGTGAAGGGCGGGGTATAAATTCAGTCTCCTCCTCCTCCTCTTCCTCTTCTTCTTCGCAGAGTGGGGATTTGAACCTGGGTCTCTCTACAGTCCTAGTCCAAAACTTTAACCGCTTCACCTCACTGACTGCAATCACCAGGGGTCATTTCGTAGAAAAAGAGTTGCAGGAGCTCATTAGCATTACTCATTAGCATAACTTATTTGCATATGCCACACCCCCTGACATCACCGGAAGTGTGTCAGAAGCAGCATGCGGACTCTAATATGGGAGAACCGGGTTTGATTCCCCACTCCTCCACTTGCACCTGCTGATGTGACCTTGGGTCAGTCACAAGCTCTGGCACAGCTGTCCTTGAAAAAGAGCCGTTTCTGTCAGAGCTCTCTCAGCCCCACCCACCTCACAGGGTGTCTGCTGTGGGGAGGGGAAGGGAAAGGAGTTTGTAAGCTGCTCTGAGACACCTTTGGGTAGTGAAGGGCGGGGTATAAATCTCTTCTTCTTCTTCTTCTTCTTCTTCTTCTTCTTCTTCTTCTTCCCATTGAAGTCCCTCCTCTCCCTAAATCCCAACCTCCACCCTCAAAATCTCCAAGTATTTCCCAACCCGGAGCTGGAAACCCTACGTCAGCAGGCTTAAATGGTTGGGGACCCCAGATGTGAACCATCCATTTCAGATTGTAGGCCTTCCGGTGCCGAGAACCTGTCGTTTTCACATCCTCCGCAGGATTTCCTCCTTTTTGGTGTTAAATAAAAGTCAAATGCTACCAGGAGTAGCAGCTCAGGAACCTTGCTCCCCATAAATCTGTGGATGCAATACGGGAGTGAGGTCCTCTCCTTTCTAGTAGCAGAGTGATCTTTCGTAAATTAAGCACTCTGCGTTTTCCAAGTGAGGGCAATGGGATAGCCGCAGAGAAAGAGTCTGGCTTTCTTCCTTCCCCACTGCACGCCTATTAATTCAGAACTTTCCTTTCTTTACCCACAGACGTACGAGACTCACCTCCACCAGGTAAATATTCTAGTTCATAGAATTCAGGTTCGTAGAATTGCCAGCTCCGAGTCTGAGCATTCCTGGATATTTGGGGGTGGAGCCAGGGGAGGGAGGGGTTTGGGGAGGGGAGGGGCCTCAGCAGGGTACAGAGCCATAGAGTCCACCCTCCAAAGCAGCCATTTTCTCCAAGGGACTGATCTCCGTAATCTGGAGCAGTGTTCCCTCTAAACTGAGTCAGTGCGAGCTAGCTCACAGTTCTTTAGCCTCCGGCTCACACATTTTTGTCTCAGCTCAGGAAGGAGGGCTCCAGAGCAAACTAATGTATGCAGCAGCCAAATCGCTCGCTCACAACTTTAAAGCCGGTAGCTCACAAAGTAGAATTTTTGCTCACATGACTCTGCAGCTTAGAGGGAGCATCGGTCTGGAGAGGAGCCGTAAGTCCAGCGGTGGATCTCCAGACGCCCTCTGGGGACTGGCTGCTCTATTAATGGCACTACTGTGGGAATTAGGGTTGCCAGGTCTGGGCTGGAAAATACCTGGAGGCTTTGGGGGTGGAGCCAGGAGAGGGCGGGGTTTGGGGAGGGGAGGGGCCTCAGCAGGGTACAGAGCCACAGAGTCCACCCTCCAAAGCAGCCATTTCCTCCAGGGGAGCTGGTCTCTGTCAGCTGGAGCTGGGTTGCAAAAGCAGGAGCTTCCCCAGGCCCCACCTGGAGGCTGGCAGCCCTAATGGGAATGGAACCCAGGTCAGGAATCCTTCCTTTCCCCTTCCCTCCCGCAGAACCAAGAGACGCTGAGGACAGCCAGCGAGGCCTTGCTGGCCCAGGTTGAAGAGCTGAGCGGCCGACTCAAGGAAGAGACCCAGAAGGTGGCGGCGCTGGAGAGCCAACTGCAGGTCCTTTTGCCACTGCAGGGGACACTGGAAGAGGTAAAGAGTCTTAGGGGTTCACCCAGAGCAGTGCCGCTCACACTTTTCAGCAGGGCTATTTTGGGGCAGGAACGCACAGGAACGGAGTTCCGGCTGGCTCCCAAGTTGGCCACGCCCAGCAGGAACTCATTAGCCTAATAGGCCACACCCAACAGCAGAAGCTCATTCGGATTGGCTGCATTAGGGGTGTGTGGCCTAACATGCAAAGGAGTTCCTGCTACAAAAAAAAGCCCTGGGTTTTGACAACAAACAAGGTAAACAGAATAAGAAGCAAAAGGTGGGTGTGGCTGGATGAGCACACTTCTGGTAACATGGGGGTGTGGCCTAGTATGCCAATGAGCTGTGCTGTCGGGGGTGTGGCCTAATAGGCAAATGAGTTCCTGCTGTTGGGTGTGGCCCATTATGCTAATGAGTTCCTGCTGGGCTTTTTCTACAAAAAGAGCCCTGCTTTTCAGCCGCCTTCCTCTTTTTCACAACTGGCCTTCCGGCAACCTCCCTGCCCTCTGCTGACCAGAAGCAGCAGCAGCAGCAGTAGCAGTCTCAGGCCAAGTGCAACCGTGCCTAAATCCAGACCTCCGACCCAGGGTGCTGAGGTGCCGGAGTCTGGCGCTTGAGCCGGAAGGGCCGTGAGCAAGAGGAGTCGCTCTGTGGATACTGTCGCCAACTCCAGGTTGGGAAAGTACTGGAGATTTGAGTTTGGAGCCTGGTGAGGGCAGGTGTTCTGGTGATGTCAGGGGGTGTGGCATATGCAAATAAGTTATGCTAATGAGTTATGCTAATGAGCTCCTGCACCTCTTTTCCTACGAAATGACCCCTGCTCATTAGTAAAGTTTCTTTGTTTAAAAGCTAATACAAGTGTTCTGCTGCATTGATTAACTCTGCATTTACATAGAAATCCCTAACAGAATCCATTCCTCAAACTGTGACTTTTCCATCTCCAGTATGCTATCGCATCAAAACGAATGCTCCTTATAGTGCTAGAGAAACAGTTCCATGGGATAAGGGTGGTGGGAAGTGCCGTCAAGTGACAGGTGACATATGGTTGTGGATGGAAGGGGCCTCAGCGTGGTATAGTGCCACAGAGCCCACCCTCCAAAGCAGCCATTTCCTCCAGGGGAACTGATCTCTGTGTTCTGCAGATCAACTGCAATTCCAGGAGATCTCCAGGCCCCACCTGGAGGGCAGTAGCCCTATCCATCGTCCAAATTGGGGCAGTGTGTCAGAAGGCAACACCCACCACTCAGGCTCCACTGGACTGTTTTGGATTGCTAGCTACTGGGTGGGGGGGAACGTGCAGATCTGTCCTCGCAGAGGAGGGAGAGCTTGTACCTGAATAAAACTTGGTCTTAAAGGTGCCACTGGACTGTTTTGGACCAGGGGACCGGGGG